AGCCGATGTAAGTTTATTTATATGACAAAGAATGATGCTTAATACTGACAGTTGAAAAATAAGGTTGAATTATATTTTGCCATCATTAATTCACATATGTTGTCATGCCATACTATAAAGTTTCAGTAACACCATAGGTAATTTCCTTTTTAGGCTAAAGCTACCATTTCAAAACTGACAGAGGAGAAGAGGTTAAGCATTTAAGAAAGAAAGATCTTACAAGAAGAACTAGTAAGTTTTCTGTCTATGCATTCTTCTTATAGGTCTTTGTTATATGTTCCATATCATGTGTTTAGTCATGGACAGTCCACATCAAGCGCCCTAAGACACTTGATAATAGAAGCAAGCTGAACAACCACACTTGCCTGCAACACTTGCAGATAATTCTTAACAAATTCCCCTAGTTTCGACTTAAGAATTCCAATTTTTTTCAAGTAACCTAAGACAGGTATCATGTTTTTACGCATACTACAACCATTCATTAAAGGGTATTAATTTGATATCATCAACAGTTAATCCAAGTTTCTGTAAAAACTCAACATGCTTGACATAACCTTAACAGTATAGGGTAATTCTAGATTCTCTAATTCATCAGAGATTATTCCTAAGGTTTTAAATGAAAATGAAGAGATTGATTTACCGGTAAAAAAAAAATTGATACTTGTAAATAAAATCTATAAAGGAGATGACTTTGGCTTACCTCAAAACTGTTGTCTGCTGGTAGCCTGGTACTAATGGAAATTACTTAAAAAAAGGCTCAACTATTGCAATTTTTATTTCTCAGAAGAGGAAACAATCGCTCATAGGTACAAATGGTTGGCTGACCCATCTGTCTTTTTGTCCTATTGACTTTCTTCTTTCTGGCTTGATGGCTTTTTTTGCTGAAACAGAGGAAAGATTCGAAGAAGAAAGCTAAATAGATGAAAGTTAAATGGATGAAAACAGGTGGGATGGCAGGAATTGGATAGGTGGATGAGAAATTTTGAAGAGATCGGAAGAGATGAAAAAGATGTGATGATTGGATGGATGAAAAACAAGAACATCGAAAGAAATCAAAACTCAGAAACCCTAAAAAAATTACATATATATATTAAGGGTATTTTAGTAAATATCTTAGGTCGGGTTTCATATAAACCTGACCCCGACCCGAAACCGATATTTCAAAAAATAAATCCGACCTAACCCGACCCGAAACCCATTTTTTCAAGAAAAAAACCCGACCTTAAATGATCAGGTCGGGTTGAAACCCGACAGTTTTAGGTTAATTTACCGACCTTAAAGAGAGCAATAGGTGGAGTATTCTTTTAAAAGCTTTATAGTGAGATTGGGTAGACTATTACAAAGGGTAGAAAAAGATAGGGTTGTAATTTTTCAGTTCAAGTTAGTGAATTGAAGCTTGGTGTGGACAACCAAGAGAGATGACTTAAGTGCTTTATGGAGAAGAATCGAACTTCTATAATTTTTCATGTTTGATTTCTCTATCCCTATCTCTTTACTTTGATTATTGTTTATATTTGCTTCAAGTTTATCAATTTATTGTTATTTGCATCATATTTTGATATTAGTTTTACTCTTTCATTCGATTATATTAAAATCTATTTTTGGGAGTAATATAGCGAAATCTAATTCACCCCCTTTAGATCACCATCTCACCTAAAAAGTTAAGATTTTCTTACAAAGTTTTATCTAATTTAAAAATGAAAAAGGGAAAAAGCAAAAAGTAAAAAAAAAAAAAATTAGCTAATGAAGGTGCCAAATGAACATCTAATTGCTCTCAAAATCTTATAACCATTAATGTAAAGATAGATGTATGAACAAATTTAGTGCATGGATGGATGTGCAAGATTTATATTAAAAAACTTTAAAAAACAAAAAATCTAAAAGTAAAAAAAAGAAAAAAAAACCAAGCAAAAAAAGAAAAGAATCAAAATAGAATGTTATATGAACATTCACATGAACCCTTTTGTTATTTTTTAACTTAAAAAAACTAAAAAAAGTTAAAGAAAAAACTAAAAAAATGAAAGGGAAAAAAAAACAACCAAATTCAAATGTAACATAGATACCTCATTTGAGTTTTTTTTTTAAACAAAATTATTTTAAGTTTAAAAAAAAAACTAAAAACAAAAAAGAACGAAGAAAAAATGTTTTTAATGAATAATATCAAATAAATCCCACTATAAATCTTTTAAAAAATTTATTAAATATAGAGAGAAGAAAAAGAAAAAAAATTAGGTAAAGATGGTGACACATTGAGGCAAAAAATATTATAAAATTTATATTATGGATATTAAAATATATATTTTTATATATACTCGAGGTGGGTCATGGTAAAGCACCATTAACCCATCACCACCTGACTTTGTTTTTGTTTAAAAAATTCAATTTGCGCCAATTTGGTATTGATTAAAAAATATTGCCTCTCTATCAAATTAGGTCTGAAACCTATTGAATACAAATTGTTTTGTCATCCTTATCTATTAGTATATTTTGTTGCTAATTTTATCTAATAAAAAAATGAAAGAAAGAAAAAAGCAAATTGAGGTGGTACTTTGATATTTCCTTTTTTTTATTGAACATTTTTTTCAAAGATTTAACTAGATAAAAAAATTAAAAATCCAAGAAAAATTAAACAATAAAAAAAATAAGGTGCTACATTGACACCTTAAATAAGAGTTAAACAAAAATTAAAATAAGTTCAATTTGTATAATAGATGAATAGATATATAGATAGATAGATGGATTACATCTTAATTATAAATTAGTATAATATTTTCATTAAAGTAAGATATTAAATAATAATTTTATTAATATAACATATAAATATTAAATTAAATAAATAATTAAAAATATAATTATATATATAAATACACTTAAGTAAGACAGAATACCTTAAATTCACCTCCAACCAAACTATAATTTAAAAAAAAAAAAAAACCTCAACTTGATCTTAATTTCTTAAAAACACGCATATATTCTATTGGAGAAATTTGAAACCCATGGTATATTGATTATTTTGTTATTTTTACATCTATCAACTTATTTTTTTATAAAATTTATTTGATTAAAAAAAGTAAAAAAATTAATAAAACTAAAAATGTGGTAAAAAATAAAAATAAAATAAAACAAAATGAGGAGGCTATTTGAATTTATTAAGGTATTAAATAATTATCTTTAAATAGTTATTTTATTAATATAATACATATATAAATATAAATTTTAATAAATAATAAAATATATTTATGTATACTTGGACGGGAAGAAGACCCTAAAAGCACATTTTACCTTATCTTGATTTTCAAAGAAACTTGATACGATCCAAAATTTAAAAAACAAATATATTAGGTTTAGATAAATTGAAACTTATAAAAAAATTAAAAAATATTTTTAATGATAATAAATGGGTCCAACATTAAAAATTTAAAATATTTATTAAATAAAAAAAGAAAAAATTATAAATTAAAAGTAAAAATAAAAAAATTAAATTATTTAACATGTAATATATCTTTAATATCAAATAAGTTATTAAAAAATCAAAAAATTATTTATTAAATATATAAAAAATAAAAAATGAAAAAGGTTATAACAAAAAAAAGACGTGACATATTCTTTATATCAAATAAATCTAAAAGAAATATATAAAAAATTAAATAAAATTCTTTTTGAAAATATTGATATCAAATGGATTCAAATTAAAAAAAAATTATTAAACATTAAAAAAATACGGCACCAAACAAAATGTTCAAAAAAAAATAATAACAACGAATCTCATATGAAATATAATAAAAAGTGGGTCCCGTTTAAAAAATTTATGAATTATAAAAAAATTAAAAAATCGAAAAAAAGGTTTCAATTAAAAATGGTAGGCTCCATTGAATATAAAATATATAAAAAAATTTTAAAAATAAAGAATGGGTAAGAAACAATCACCCTAAAAAAATAAATTTTTTATAATAAATATATTAAAAAGTAAAAAAATTATAAAATGAAAAACAAACCGATTAAAAATCCTAGCAATAAAAGAAGTGAACCCCAACTATTAAAAACTTTTTTAAATAATAAAATAAAAATAAAAAACAAAAAAAAATCGATTTCTGATGTCTGGTGTCAACAGTATATCCGAATCTGAAGCATTTAAATGGAAGGTTGTTTCAATTGGGAAAATTAATTATGGGAAAGGAAATAACAACCTTGAGTAGAAATAGATTTGAAAATTTGTGTTTATTTATTTTATATTGAATATTTATAGATATAAAAATTATTATATTATAATTTGTATTAATATATGAAATATAAAATATATTTTATATTTTTAATCAAATTCATATATAAAATTTATTAAAATTTTAAAACATTTTTCTTATATTCTTTTACATATTTTTGTATTATATATATCATGTAGTATTTTTTTTTCTTATGTTCTTATATTCTTTTATATATATATATATATATTTTTTTTTCGTATTATTACATTCAGCAGCATTGATATCTAATGCGATAAAAGAAATTACCGTCGCGCTGAAGAACGAGTCAATCATTGTCGTTTTGATGGACGCTATTATAGTGCACTCCTTGCAATATTAAACTATGACTTTTTAGTTTTTACTGAGTCTCGAATTAGTGTTGAGAATTGGGAGAGAAAGCTAACTGTGAAAAGTGAATCCTAGACTTGCTTTACTCTGGTAAACTAAGGTCAGTGTTTTTTTGTCATCGTGTGTTTAAGCTAGTGAAATTTTAATTTGAATGCTCTTTTTTTTATTCTTTAGGTCATTTAGATGAAATTTTAATCGAAACTTAGTCTTTGATTTGCTGTTTATTAATTTAGTTGTTGTAAATTTAGTGGTTAATCATTCATACTCCTTTTTCATTGATTTGCTGTTTTTAATAAAATATATTACTATTCTCCTCACATTGATTTACCCAACTATTTACTGGATTTCACTTATATTCTTATTTTATTGTCAAAAATGGAGTGGGATTAGTGCTGCTTTGTTGGCATGCTCATGGGTTCATGTTGTAAGCTTTTCTTTTTTTGTTTGGGAAGAGGGCATTCCAACCCTGTTCTTCAAGTGCGGAAATATGCACTTAATATTGAACCAAATGCGCAGTTGAATGTTACCCGGTATTTGACAATGATGTATTTCAGGGGAAACTGGAATAATCATGGACGCTAGCTTTGCAATGCAAAATGCTAAACGCTTAAAGCTTGGTTTGGAGCCGAATTTCGGTGAGGGCATGAGTAGAATATGCAGTTTACCAGACTCAATTCCTTAGCACATTTTATCTTTACTTGAAATAGAAGAAGCTGTTAAAACAAGTGTATTATCAAAAAGATGGGAATTCCTATGGACATCTATTACCAAGCTTGAGTTTACGGATGACTTTGTACAGAGTGATGAAAAGAGGGCAGAATTCATGAATTTTGTAGAAAGAGCACTTTTGCTTCATGACTCTTCTAGCATAAATACTTTCAGCTTAACCTGTGAGGTGCCAACTGATGGGTCTCTGCCTCGCATTAACTCGTGGATAAATGCTGCTCTGAGGCACAATGTGCAAAAGATGATGCTTCGTCTTGACTTTGAGCATTGTCATGGATTATTTATGTTGCCTCGTCACCTTTTTGCTTGTGAATCCTTGAAAGAGTTGGAACTGGATTTCTTCTTTGATCTCAGGCTCCCTTCTTTTGTCTACTTTCCGAATCTAAAGATCTTGACTCTCTCAAGAGTTTTCTTTATGGATGATAATTCAGTACAGCAACTATTCTCTAGTTGCCCAAAATTGGAGAAGTTAGATCTATTTCTGTGTGAGTGGAGCAGTGTGAAGGCTGTTCATGTTTCTGCTCCAGTGCTTGAACATTTGGAAATATATGAAGTTGCAGCTGATTTAGATACTGAGCCTGATTGTCAATTCATGATTGCTGGACCAAGGCTTAAATTCTTTCATTATACAGGAGAACTCAAAAATGATTACTGCATATTTGATTCACCCTTGCTTGTTGATGCACATGTTGATGTGGATTTAAGATTATTCCATATGAACACTGGAGGACAAAGACAAGCTGCTTATCGTGCACATAAGCTTCTTAGGGGGCTTGCTAATGTGAAAGATTTACATGTATCACCTCGTACTCTCAATGTATGTTTGCAAACCATTGTGCAATAGTTTCTGTCACCAGTCTTTACATTGTTTGCTTTGTCAAATTATTTATATGAATAGGCATTCATTTAAGTTTTTTTACACAAAGTTTTGATATATTAATTATCCTATATTTCTTTTCTAGGTTCTCTTAGTAGCAGAAGAATTAGTTGCATGTCTCCCATTGTTTCATAATCTAAATCATCTTGAGGTGAGTGGGGGGACGTTGAATTTTGCTTCTGGAACGCTGCTGAAGATACTCCAAAACTCACCTCATCTTGAGTCTATTTATTTTGCAATGGTAAGTGTCTGAATGATCACCAAGCTATTGCATCACTATACTTTCGTTATTTAAGATGAAAATAGTGTTTTTTGATGTTGCCTCTGAATGATCACCAAGCTACTGCATCACTATACTCTCGTTATTAAAGATGAAAATAGTGTTTTTTGATGTTTTTGTAGGGAATCCGCTTGTCTGCTTTAAGTGTGAGAGATGGTTGGCGACTCGATCCAGTACCTCCATGCTTCTTGACCCACCTGAAGACACTCAAAGTTTAATTGTTTCACGGAGATGAAGATGAGGTAAATGTGGTCAAGACCATACTCAAATCTGCAAGAGTCCTGGAGAGAATTGAACTTGGCTCTAAGAATAAGGTAAGTGTGGTCAAGACTATACTGAAATCTGCAAGAGTCCTGGAGAGAATTGAACCTGGCTCTAAGAAGGAAAACAAGATTCGCAATGTGATACTCGATCTTTTCAAAGAATGCATGAATTCTAATGTAGTTTTATGTTGAAACTCCAATTGGATCAGTTAGAGCTGCAGCTATCGAGCTTTTTGTTTGTGAATTCTAATGTAGCTTTCCAGTGAAACTCTTAACTGGTTCAATTATAGCTGCAAGTATTAAGCTTTTGTATTTGTGAATTCTAACGTATTTTGCTGATGAAAATCTAGCTGGTTCAGCTAGAGATCTAACCATTGAGCTTTTTGTTTGTGAATTCCTATGTGGTTCAATTGTAGCTGCAACTATTAAGCTTTTATATTTGAAACATAATTTTCCGTTAAGTCTCTACATGGTTGAATTAGAGTTGTAACCATTGAGATTTTTGAATGTTTTTGGTATATAAGATTATAATAGGATAGGATAAGATGATATTATAAATATGATTAAATTAAATAATGTTATCTTATATCGTGTTTGATGTGTGCAAAGATTATAACAGAATAATTTATTTATCGATCAAAATTTTTTTTCTTCAAAATTTATACAATTGAAATTCTTGATATAATTTTTGAAGATATAATAAGACATATAAATTTAATCTTATTTATTAAAAATAATTTTTTCTACTTTAAAATGGTTGAATAACCTTATGCATCAAACATGGTTTTTGTTTATTAATTCAGATGTCCATCTAGTTCATTTACTGCTGTATCCATTGACTTTTTACTTTATTTTATATTTTGAAAGACACTTGTTTTTATTTTAAATGCAATTACAAATAACGAAATGTATACAATAGGCCAATTTTGTTTTAATTAATTATTCTTAACAAAAAAGAACATTTTTAGTAACTTAATAGTTTTATATTTGTATGTAAGAAAATCAATTGACATTTAGGTAACATTAAAACTCTATGGGGTATTTGGTTTGCCAACGTCGAGAGGAAAAGTGATTTAAGAGGAAAGTAATATTAAAGAGAAATATACATGTGATTTTTAGTTTTGTTAACTTATGAAATGTAAAATTTTTGTATTTGGTTCATAGAAATATAAAATTTGTGTATTTAATTTAAAGAATGTAAGATTACTTAATAAAGTGTTATACTATATTATACTTGATAATATGTAAATAACACGTGACATTCATAATACTAATATATAAATAACATATTGTCTTTATTTAAACTAAATAATTCTAAAAAATAATTTTTAATATTTTTAACAAATATAACTTACAATTCTAATGTTAGTGTCTTAGGGAGAGAAAACACTAGGATTGACGTTATATGTAATAATATTAAATAAAGATATTTTATGTTTTATTTTTTTATATTTTCAATAAAAATTGTGTTTTTATATTAGAAAAATAATCTTTTCAACAAAAATTACTTTTTTATTTTAGAAATGTCATCTTTTTTAATTTTAAAAAACATATTTTTCACATTTTCAACAAAAACTGCATCTTTGATCTTAGAAACATTGTTTTTGTTGAATTTTGAAAGATATATTTTTTTATGTTTTCAACAAACAAAAACTGTATTTTTATCTAAAAACATTATCTTTTCAATAGAGATTGCATTTTCTATCTTAAAAACGTTATTTTTGTTAGATTTTGAAAAATATTTTTTTTCATATTTACAACAAAAAACTACGTTTTTACCTTTAAAATGTAGTATTTTCAACAAAAATTATGTTTTTTTTTTATCTTAATAACGTCATCTTTGCTAAATTTGAAAAAATAATTTTTTTCATATTTTGACAAAGGCCATGTTTTTATTTTAAAAATGTCATATTTTATTGAATTATGAAAAATATATATTTTTCATCTTTTCAACAAAAATCGTATTTTTCATTAAGATTTTTGTGAAGATTTCAGTAGTACTATGTTAAAAACGTGATCTATATTTAAGAAAAAATTATTTTCATATTATTTTATAAAAACTTACAATGATTTTGAAATAAATAATGTTGTTTATATAATCTGAAAATACAATTAAGTAAAGGCAAATGAAAAAAATTTTCACTTTTCCTTTAAAAAACCTTTAAAATATTTTTATGCAAGAAACCTTAAAAACATATAACAACTTAATCAATTAGCCTTAATAAAAATAAATTAAAACATTTTTTTTGATAAATTTCCTATTTTTGATTGTTTGATAAAAAAAGTCTAATCATAACTAAATAAGTTCAACTCAGTGAACTAAATAGTTATAACTAAATATGAAAATACCTTATTCAAATGAATATAAACACCATCTATCAATCTATAAAGAGTAAAGGATCAAAGATAAAAAAAAAAAAAAAAAAAAAAAAAAAAAAAAAAAAACAAATTATCTTAATCCAGTAAGCAAAGTTAAAGAATTTGTATCTTTGACCAAAATGAAGAAAAGAAATGTACAAAATATACAATTAAATCAAATCTATGAAGCTAACACTAAATTTCAACCAAAACCCAGAAAATGAATTCGAAATCCATGGACAATTAAAGTACCTTAATTTTCATACTTAGTGGTATTTCATCAGAATTCAACCATCTTTGCATTAAATCACATAATTCAATAATCAAAAACAAAAATATAAGATAAATCATATACATATCAATAATATAAATACTTATATTAAATTTAAACTCTATCAACAAAGTTCGAGAATTGTCAGATATTTCATTAAAATATATTAAATAATTGATAAATTAATATAATAAATAACAAAACTTGACAATATTTTAACTCTACTTGTAGAATTTAAAAGCTCCATTAATGATGTACGATACAATATTGCATAAAAGAAGAAAAGATAATAAACCCAAATCAACACTATCTATATATTCTGTTTTAAGTCAATAATCATTTCAAATATTGGCAAAATCACTTTACAATAAAGAAAAGGTTTGTTGAATTTTTTATAGAGTTTTCTTTTCGAGAAATTCATTGACTTCAAACTATATTACATACAGGCCTTTATAGGTGTTTTTACACAAAAAAAAAAATTCTAGATAGATTTCACAGCATCATTGATTCAAAGATTTAGTTCACAAAACCTAGTTATCATAAAATGCAAGAAGTTGCTTTATAAGAGTATGCCTAGCAGCAACATTTTGTCCATCAACTGTGACCCAATCTACAACAGTTGATGCAAGTTACTCCCACTTTTCTTCAAGCTATGGTAGAATGTTCAATCCATTCTCCTTCTTTCTAAAAAAAAATAACTGAATATAAACGAATAAAAAAGCATAGTTGTGGAAAAAAAATCATACTCTCTAATCAAACTAGCAGTCTATCACAACTCCTTATCTCATGTCCCCACCCATAATTCTAATTCACACCCCTAACAAATCAACCATTTTCTTCATTTTTTTATGAGTAATGTTTAGATAGATTGCATATAAAATTGCAGAAAAGTAGAATGCATAGTAAGAGAGATATGGACATGGCTGGTAAAAAAATAAGGGTGATTACTTACCAAGCCCCTCATATATTTGCAACCCTCTAAGCACTTTTGAGCATTCCAAACTACAGTTCTAAGTTTAGGTAGCCAATTCTCTGTGACAAATTTCTTTTGTTTAACAGTCAAATTCAAACAATAATTTGTTTTCTTGCATCAAATTGCTAGAAAGCACATAATAAAATATAATAACCAAATCCTCTAATACCAGTCCATCTAGTACTTTACAAAGTCATAAAAATTTTAGGATCTTTTAATCTCTTTAAAGCAATAAAATGAAGCCCTTAAAAAAAAGGAAATACAAAGAAAAACATTTTATTGATAAATCTCATATGATCAAAGGCAAATCTACATGAAACATGAAGTCGATGACATAATGTACTACTTCAAAAAATAAAAGACATAACATTTTTATGCCTTAACTTCAATCATGATAAAAGTTCTTTATTAAAACTTGCTATTAATTAGTAGTTTTTATGATAACTTGTTTCAAGGAATTCAAAGCCACAAGTTTAAATAAAAATCTAAATAATTGTAATCTTTTGAATGACTAATCATTCAAATAAAAGTTTCCACTAAGATAAAGTTGGTGGGTGAAACTAAAATACTTAAGGACATCCTTACTAAAGTGGTGAACTGTAATTAATATTATCAAGATTTACTCTGAAAATCAAAGCCACATATAATGTCCAAGAATTAAATATGTAATACTATAATTATATTAAAAGAAACGTTGAATGAAGCATTAGGAAAAGTAACTATAGAGAAACATGCATGAAAATATTGTATTGACATGAAAAATACTAAAATGTTTACCTAATTAAATAGCATTAAAAGGATTTTAATAATCCTAATTAAAACTTTACCAAGATAAGGTTATAGTCCTAAGAATTAGAAGTCACTCTATAGCTCATAATTTTATAATTATTGCACTTGGTTCCTACATATTTGGATTATTCCTCTTTTGGAATAAATTTCTAGTAAAAAAAAATCAAAATGCACACCTAAATGCAAGGAGTCCCTTTTAGCCCTCACTTAGTATAGTGGTTATTGATTGGATTAAATTCTCATGAAGAACAATGTCATAGCTCATCGTTGACCCAATGAAACATGCAAAGTCAAAACATGCCTTCCATAATATTTAATTTGTCAGCCATTATGACAAGAGGTTATTAGAAACCTATGTGACCAAATCTAAATGAACCAAGATGTAAAAATGCATTCAAGAATTTAATTATTAAATATACATATACCCATCATGTGCAAATTAGCATCTCTATAGCATAAGAGAGAGCATACAGCACATACAATTAATGTATTGATGAGCCCTTCCACATATAGAGTTCCTTTAGTTAAGCATTTGCTAAGAAGCTTTATGATCCAAGTTGCAAATGGCTGCCACCTGTTTTTGCCTAAGAGGTTAATCAAGATGCTAGGGCCATTAATGGGTTTATTGCTTGTTGGTAAATCACAAAGACATGTTGAATCACTTAAATTTCCAAAAAATGACTTATGGAAACACTTTAAAGTTAATTTAGTGGCTTTTGCAATTCTTGAATTTTCCATAAAAAGGGATCCCATATACAAAATATCTAGATGAATATAAAGGCATGTTAGTTTTCTTTTATGTTTTTAGATGCATTATAATCAGATGCTCGAATAATTGAGCCATTATGGATTAAAACAAACACAAATCATAAAATTAAGATTAATCAATTACATAATGTAACAGTGAAAACATAATCATATCAATCAAAACTCTCACAAAGCTCTCTTTTTACCTTCAATAGCTGACTTGACATTAATGAAAAACATTCAGTATACATCTCGATATTTAATACGAAGCAAGGATAGAAATGGGTCTAATTGTATAAAAAATTACTCCATGTCGAAAGTTGAAATATGATAGATAATTCTTGAAAATGCAACAAAAACATAAAAAGCTTTGAAATGTGCAATAAACAAATTTAACAAAACCCAAACACAAGATAAAAAAGACATTGCAAAAAATGCTTTGTGTAAGGGAATGTTATTAAATCATCGACTAAAATGCAAGTTCAATAAAAAAGGACAATATCCGACCAATCACGGGCAGAATAACACTAGCCTTGCCATGGTAAAAACTCTAAAAAAATTCCTTGTTGTGTGAGAAATGAACTTCAACAAAACTATAACTTCCGTTTGTTGGCTGCAAAAAGTGTAACATCAACAACAATAACTACAGCTTGTATAAAACCTATCATATATTTATGAAGTTCTACATCATTGAGAACCGATGATAAAAACAAAGCCAAAGAAATTAAGAAAACATTTAAAATAGTTTTTAAGTAAATGGCTCGTGTTTTGTTAAAAAAGAGGGGAATAAGTGAAAAAGAATTGCTTTCAAATACCCAAAAGTAAAAACCATTTATAACTGAAGTTGTCCATTACTTGAAAATCATAGAAAAACTTGATTCTTGACCATCTCTTTTCTTAAAAAATTGATACAAAGGAAAATGAAAAAGAAAATCGCTTTTTGAGTTTAATTCTTGAATCTTGAACAATTTCAAACCTTTCTTTCATTTTCTTATCATTTAAAGAAGAATTTTGTGTTCTTAATCTTTTATTTCTTCACAATTAAGTGGCCTATACTTATTAAGAAACCAAGAAAACATCAAAAAATAAAAAAAGATGGTTTTGGTTTTGTGTCTTGAACAACAGAAACCTAAGAAAACCATATTCCATGTAAACCTAAAAAACCAAAAGAAAAGAAAAAAATCAGTTTTAGAAAGTGAAAGAAAGATTACCAGAAGAAGAAGGAACAACGTAGGCATGAAGAAAATTTGGTCTCTAAGACATCATCGTTGTTGTTAAGTTGTTATTTGAAGGAGTAGAGGAACTTCTAACAATGTGTTCACAATGTTCGTGACCTCTTCGGCTTTGAAACCCTTAAAGCCCTTGCCAGATAAGGCGATACTCTTTGAGGAAGCGGACTGGAAAAGAACCAAACTAATAAAAAGTTAGATCAGTGAAAAGCTTACAAAAAGAAAAATCTTGATCCATTGAGGTTGGGAAATGAAATCGAGAATCCAAGAAAGGAAATCGAGAAATCTTAAAACTGGTTGCAAAGTAAAAATGAAGATGTAGAAAGAGAAAAAGAGGAGAAAGAAAAAAAGTGAATGGGAGAATGTAGTTAGGGGAATAGGTAAGACTTCGTTGGTGACATCCTGTCTCCACTTTTGCTTAGTCACCAAAACCTTGGGAAGGAAAAAACTTGTGGAAAAGAAAGAAAAACCAGACATGTATAAGAAGTTTAAGGATCCTTCAGGATCTTTTTTATATAGAGTAGAATATATTTAAAAGAAAATTACTTTTTTTTTATTGAAAAAAATTTATTATATCAAGAATTTAATTAGTTCATATAATTATATTTAAAATATTATATCTAGTAAATTTTGGTACAAGTAAACAAATATTTAGATTAATGCATAATATTATAGATTTTAAAAATTTGACTTTAATACAAATAAAAAATTTTAAAATCAATCCAAACAAAAAAATATTTAATATTTGAATCTAAATGGAAAGAAATAAAAAAATTGATTTAAACTGAATATTATAATTTTAAATATTTTTTATTTTTTAAAATTTTAACTTTATTAATGAAATTTAAATTTCAATGCTTATAATTAGAAAAGGTAAAAATATCCGAAATCGATGGGTTTCAATCCGACCCGACCTTTTAAGATCGATTTTTTTTTTAAAATCGGGTATCGGGTCAAATAGGCGATAAAAAAATTTCGGGTTCAGATCAGAGTCGGGTTTTAGACAAACTCGACCCTATCCGACTCAATATATATAAAAAAATTATTTTTTTAATTATTTATTTAATTTTATACTTAATTTTATATTTATATTAAAAATAAATATTTTATTAATTTCAGATTGGGTTGGATCGGATTCGATTTTATACAATATCAAATCGAGTTGGGTTGAGTTCGAATATTAAAAAAATAAAAAAATTATCGGATCGAATACGAGTACGAGTTTTATATGTTTAAAATTGAATCAAGTTCGAAACGAGCAAAAACTTAACCTGTCCCCATCCCGTCCCAGTTGCCATCACTACTTATAATTTTTTTAAATTACAACCTCTTAAAAAAATTACTGTTTTTTATGATAATTTTTTAATTTAAAATTTAAAAATTTTTTATAAAAAAAAAAGTTGTAAAAAAAAAATTTGCAACTAGACCGAAAATCGGCAATTCTGCAGATTCAAACCCTGGTCCGGTTATCGCTTATATGTTTAAAAGAAAAAAAACGTGCACACATTGGAAGGTAGTAGATGGAAACAACATATAATTGTTTTCAAAAACCGGAGCTGAAGAATCCGCCATCTTCGTCTTCTTCAATCTTTCAACTTTGTTAGCCATGAATTGCGTGGATTCTTCTTCTTTAGTATTCCCATTAAAACTGAGACTCCACCACCACCACTCTTTGCCTCTCCTAAACCATTTTCAACGACGCCAACCTCTCTCTTCCTACCGCTCCCACTTAGCAGCCACCAAGAAACCACTCAGAAAAGTGCACTGTGAATTCGAACCCAGAGTTAATGGCACTCTCTCTCCTGACTCTGACTCCCGTTTCCTCGACAGAGTAACCCCTCTTCTATGCTTTTTCTTTTAACTTTTATTTCTGATTTGAAAGCCTTCTTTTTCATTGCTATGCTTCTGGGATTACATTGAAGAAGACTCACATTTTAAGGAGTCTGATTATTTGAAGCAAATCCTTTTTGTGGGTTGTTTTCGCTTAGCATCTAAAAATTGCCCATTTCAAAACTTGGCTGTAATTTCCTTTTCTTCTGTTTGGGTTTGTTCTTTTTACCTTTAAAAGCGATTTTTGAAGAATTGAATGTTAAAAAATGTAATAGAGCAGTTGTATAGTATTTTTATTTTAGCCCTTTGTTCATTGTTTCTCGCTTATGATGTTGGTTTCTATAATATAGCGAAGTTTACAATGAAATACACAAAAGCCGCTTTGCGAAATTTATTATGTTTTGGATGCTTAATGTTATTTGCATATTTTTGCATTCCAGCAAAAAGCATTGGAGACTGCAATGAATGATATAAATAGGTCCTTTGGGAAAGGAAGTGTTACAAGACTGGGGAGCGCGGGTGGAGCACTGGTGTATGTGTTCTAACTTACTGTAACATTATATCCGTGGTTATCAAGCTCTCTTAGTTATTTACTTCAGTACTTTCAGTTTGGATTTTGTTCCTTAAGTTCTTGTTAAGATGGGGAATTTTTTTTTTTTTCCTGCTTGCTATTGGTTTAAATATTATGTTGAGATTCTACAAGAGCACTTTGTTATAGAGTTTGAACTGGAATTGTATTTGTTTTGACTTCATTTGGTAACAATTTGTCCTTTATAGTGAAACTTTTCCAAGTGGTTGTTTGACGCTAGATTTAGCCTTAGGTGGTGGCCTTCCCAAAGGAAGAATTGTTGAGGTATCAGTTTTCTCATTCTATCTCATGCTTCTTCATTTATTTGATTTTAGTTAATTATTTAATGAACATTATCTGGTTTTGCTCTTTGGCCTTTTGAATGTCTATTTGGTAGTTTTTAACAGTTTGATGTACCTTTCGACGATAATGAAGAGGAAAATGTAACTTTTAAGTGATATCAGATTTTAGTGTTAAAGTCTCATGTATTTCATTAAGAAAATAATAAATAGAATGATAATTGACAAACTATGGTTAGACATTACTTCTAAAAGTTTCTGTTCATCATCTTATTTAATGGCAGTGAAGGCCCCTTAGGCCATAAGTATGTTGCTGCAACTTTTCATTTTTCATATTGGATACATTTTTAAGTGGAAATAGATATTGAAACACATCCTCTCATTTTCCCTCATCTTTTGAATTTTGTTTGTCAATTTACATCTATCCTATGATTGAGTACTGCTTAGGACATCTGAAATTAGGGAGTGTGGTTGACTTGAAGTAGCAAAACAGCTAATTCAGTGCACAAATTAGGATATTAGTGCAGAGAGTAAAAGCTTAAAAGAATAAGTGTAAAACTTTTAAGCAAGGTTGTAAACTAGTCTTCAGAGTTCAGACTCAACCATAACTATGATGTCTAAAAAAACGAAACTTACTAACATGATGATAAAACATTTTGGAAACAAGTTTTTCATGACAGAAAAAAAATTCTATTGACATAGAAAATAAGAGAACATCCAAAAATGACAATGTTTTGGTAAATCATGGTTCTAAATTTATTTCCTTTAACACCCCTGTTCTTTCTTAGGTCTTCCAGCGTGGTGTTTCATGACACACCATGTTTTAATTTCAATATCATATTAAAATCTGCTTTGAATGGCCTCATAATATTTGCTGTATTACTTGGCAGGTATATGGACCTGAAAGTAGTGGAAAAACCACCCTAGCACTCCACGCCATTGCTGAAGTGCAGGTTGATAGTTTCTGGCCTTTCTTAGGCAGTTGGTTATCTAATTTATTATGTTACAAGAAGGTCAATGATATGCAGTGTTTTTATTTTAATCATGCAGAAACTTGGTGGCAATGCAATGCTTGTTGATGCAGAGCATGCTTTTGATCCAGCATATTCAAAAGCATTGGGAGTGGATGTCGAGAATTTGATTGTCTGCCAGCCGGATAATGGGGAAATGGCATTAGAAAGTAATATATCCTGTCCCTTTTTTATGCAATTGTATGGGAAGTGGATATGATTGATGAAGGCTGTAACTGATGTGGCACTCACATTTATGATGCTTATAAAAATTTTGTTATACTTATAAGCTCAACAAATAAGACTAATGAAGTTGTTATGTTTCAGTTGCAGATCGTATGTGCAGATCCGGTGCCATAGATTTAATTTGCATTGATTCAGTGTCAGCTCTCACCCCACGAGCAGAGATTGAAGTATGCTCACTTCTTACTTTTTTTTCCTTTCCTCCCTTTTGAAAGTAAATTACATTTCTAGTCTTGTGGGCTACTGAGTGACTTTCCAGTCAAAAAACTACAATAAGGATCCCCCACATACTCCTTATAATCCATCAGTTTCAAGTCAAAAGACTCTCCTCCCATTAGGAACTGCACATCTTATTTATTTAATATTTTTTTCTTTGCTATTAATCTATTATTTGATTGAAGAATAATGAGACATTCAGATCAAGTAGTGTAATAAATGGAGAATACATATCTGGAAGGGAGGCTAACACCTATCTAACAAACAGAGCACCATAAAAGGAACTCGAGAACAAGTGCGATTGAACACCTAGGGTGCAACTGGTTGAAGATGAAAACTATAACCTAAAGATAAATAGAACAAGCCAATAAATCATAACTGCTACCAACAATACTATGATGAAAAATCAAAACATTTAGAGAGACCTTGGTTTGAAAGAGGATCAAACATGTTGAAAAAGCATTGGAATTCTGAAGGCAAGGTTTGTGGTAAATTGTGTGAGGACCAATCTTGAATTCTTGGGTTTGGAATGAACGATCAATATGGCATAGATTTGAAAGAGGATAAAAATGGAAAAAAGATTCTCCATTTGGTATCTTCCTCTAGAAATTGGTTCCTTAATTCTTTGGAGTTTCTAGATACTTCTTTCAGTTGATAAAGAATTTGTCAACTCAAATTAGTAATCTGAATGAGATAATGAGTAAGAAAGGGTACAAATTAGGAAGAGAGAAAGAGAGGAAGGATGGACAAATGATCACAGTATCATTGCTGGCATAGAGATTTACCAGCAATGCTGTAACAGTGAAGAAAAAGATTAATTTTCTAGATAGATAGCAAGAGGTGAAAAGCAAGTGAGTGCAGAAGAGAATTTACTTGGCCTTATGCTTCTGCATATCTTGTAACTGACTGATATTCCTTTCTTTTTATTTTTCTAATATTTAACTCCCAGTATATACCCATCTTTTCTTTGCAATATTTTAGGAATACTAGACTCCTAATTCATGGCACACTGCCATCTATATTAGAGTCTATACTGGACATTAGCATTATAGACCAGATTGTTGAATTTGATGTAATAGGTAATGGCTACATGTCATTTGTAAAATATATTATCCTGAACTGTTATTTTGGGTAAAAACCATCAGGAATAAGTATGTTATATACCCTGTTCTTTTCTTCTCTTTTCCTTTTGTGTACTTCTTTGCTCGTATGTTCTTTGATCAGATCTATGGGCCCTTCCATGTCTTCGTTCTTTCTTGTTACATTTTATTGCATAGGGTGAGATCGGGATGCAGCAAATGGGATTGCAAGCACGTCTTATGAGCCAGGCTCTACGCAAGATGTCAGGAAATGCCTCTAAAGCTGGTTGTACACTAATTTTTCTTAATCAAATAAGATATAAGGTACTTTTGATTGAGCATAAGTTGTCTTCTTGGTGACAGATGAAGTAAAAGCAATTGCAGCTGTAATAGAGAGGGCATTGGTGTGTCTAATCCAAATTATTTGTTTGGAACATCTTTATATGCATGTTGCTTTTGTTGCATCTCTCTATGTTTCTAGACTAGATTAACATGGTGCTTTTCAATTTTCTTTTTTTGTTTATTTTTTCTTTCTTTCAATTGATAGTATTGCTTTTGCTGACTTTGCAAGATTGGAGTATATTATGGGAACCCAGAAGTGACTAGTGGAGGAATTGCATTAAAGTTCTTTGCCTCAGTTCGTCTTGAAATACGAACTACCGGGAAGATAAAGTCTGTAAGCACAGTAGCTACTTGATTGTCCACTACAGATTTTCATTTTATTACTCAATACCTAATCATCATTATAACATAATTCATCTTATTCTAGGTTAAAGGTGATGAGGATATTGGGCTTCATGTTCGTGTAAGAGTGCAGAAGAGTAAGGTAAATAAGAATTATATCAGCAAATTTGAAGATATTAGGAAGTTGCAATATACTTGATTCTTCTTATTAGGCTTAAATTGGAATTTGATAATGTCTGCCAAAAGACCAATAGAAATTGTTACATTGCTTTTATGTTTTTGAAGCAAGAATTTATTATATTACTTTCTGGTAGGCCTGATGGTACCAATTTCATCACAAAATGCAAGAAAGACCTCCTTTGATCCCAAGCAAATTGGAAGAGATATGGGATAGCCCAAAAACATTTATTTTTGGCATTTGAGGCTGCCGGGATTTGAACCTTGGTCAGTAGAACTAAGAGTCTAGCACTTTACCAACAGTCTAGGCGGTTGTAAGCAATAGCCCCGAAAGAGGAAAAAAAAGGAACACAAATAATAAAATCTGATGCTTTTTGTTGTTATTTATCAAATCATGTGGGAATAAAGTTTTCTGAAAAAAAAAAAAAAACTTAATTTATCTTGGACTATTAACAAATATTTGCTATACCATTAGAATAGGAGCCAAATCATATCCATGGTCATAATGATGTGATAGCACTGCATATTTCTGGTGAAAATGTATGGCTCTACCCAAATTGATTGTTGCTGCAGGTCTCAAGGCCGTACAAGCAAGCAGAATTTGAAATCATATTTGGAGAGGGAGTGAGCAAACTGGTTAGTAATGCAATCAAATAATACATTAATCCAAATTTGCAAACTCTCTTTATTTTGACATTAAAAGAATCTACAGGGATGCATTTTGGATTGTGCGGAAATGATGGATGTTGTTGTAAAGAAGGGCTCTTGGTACAGCTACGGGGAACATAGGTTTGCTTTCAAATTTGTGTTTGCTACCTCAACCGTTAAGAGCAATTTAGATCTCTTTTTTTTTTTCTCTTTCTGTTTTCTGTTGTTTTTAATTTCAAAAGCTGATCGCTAAGAGTTAGACTTAGTAATATATACTTGATATTAACATTGTTATAATACTGGGTGGCAGTAGGGTAGTTATTATTTGAGTATGTTTCCTCATAATTACTAACTTGGTTTTTTGTTTCTATCTCTGGTCTTCTTCAAGCTCCAAAATTTTTAAGTATTACTGTATCAAATTATTTGAACCACTCTTAAGTATTTGCATGTTTGCTAGTAATTTAGCCTGTGTAGCTGTTGGCATCAAGTGTTGTTTGTAGGCCTTAAACATAAGCAAATTGCAAATACAATTGTTGTGGAGTACTCTTGGTTTCTTTAAATTGATGCATTTTGCTTTTAACTTAATTTTTCAGAGCATAATTAGTATTAGTTACCTTGTATAAAAATTGGTGCTGTCAAAAGTTTTGTTCACCGAGACTGTTAAGAAATATGTGCCACTACACAACACTTTTATCTATTTGGCTTTCTGTATAAGGATAGAAAAAAATGTAGCCTTGGTGACCGAAAATACTTAGTTTGACCATTTTCTCCCCCCCCCCCCCCCCCACCCCCACACCCACCAAAAAAAGAAGAGAAACGGAGAGAGATAGTGAAGAAAGAATGAAATTAATATCATTGTGAAGCCAGTAGGAAAGAATCATTTATCATACCTCATGCTAAGGGTGATATGTTGTGGAAAACACATCTTTTCTGTCATAAAAGGCAATGGTGAAAATGGAATGTGCTGCCCCAGAATAGGAGAACCTTCCGGATTTCCCAAGCTGGGACCTTCAAAAAGTACATTGAGTGTTAACTGTTCTACCAGGATCTTTGTATAGTCTGAGCTGTCATGGTGAAAATGAAATCAGTAAACTTGGCACTATGCTCCTTAAATTTGAAAAGCAAGTATTAGTACTTGAGGTTAATAGTTTTAAAATTAAAAATAGCCACTCAGTTTCATATCGATCAAAAAGTTTTTCAATTTGTTCTTATGTGTTTTTCACTCCTTACATCTGGTGGACTCTGCTAAAGACATTTGGGCCAGATCCCTTTTGAAATATGCTTGGCAATAGTTAATTTTGAGTTCATGGTAGCATGTTGCGTTTTCTACAAAATCTAATTCATGGACTGCTGAAACTGACACTCATCTACAAAACCTATGTTACTGCATGCTATGCATCTGTTTTAGGCTGGTTAGTTCATTTTTTCAGTTGATGCTATATGATAAACTTGTATGCATACACATTAAATATTGTCTACTAGCCGAAATTCTTGCTTCTTGGGGTTTTAATTGGAAATTTCAGGTTGGTAGGTTCAGCTACTTTATGAGGCTATTTTTAGGTTGATGAGTGGGCCGGGTGTGTTACGAACAGTCTTAAAATCTCTCAGCAATTTCTCATGTTCAATTGTTTCACAGTTTTGCAAAGACTACACTTGTTTCTTGCACTAGCATCATAAATGTTCTGTGCTGTCTCAGAGTTAGAGAAGTTAGACTTACTATGGTCCTCTTTTCTTTATATTTGTAAAGGTTGGGGCAAGGGAGAGACAGAGCACTACAATATTTGAGAGACAACCCTGTTCTTCGTGATGAAATAGAGAAGGTTCGGTTACTTCCACCCTACATATATGTATTCTGTTATGCTATTAATTGAATCTTAGTCCACTTTAATCTATTGATAATAAATGAAGCTCCAAACTGCTTATTCTTTTGATATATGACTAGTTGAGGAGGAACATGCTAACCCGGTAACCCCTTTATCAAAATTCAGAAGATAGTAAAATAGAGTTTAAAATATAATGAATAATCCCTTTCTTACATTTTTTTTTCTTCTGGTTTCTTTTTCTTCGACCCCCCCTTTTCCCCTTTCACTTTACTCTCTCAGATCTGAGTTCTCTTCTTTGCTTCTCTTCTCTTTAAGCTTTCCCTCCTCCATTGATTTGTTAGTGATAGAGGTTTGCACTCTCTTCTCTTAACTTGACTTTTCTCCTGAGTTTGCCATCAAAACAAGAGAATTTCTGCAACAGTGCACCATTTCACTTCTTTTGTCTTCACTCCTCTTTATCCAAATAAATTGTAAGACTAATTTCCTTAAATAAGTAGAATTTTGAACCATCACTGCCAACCCAAAATTGATGGGGACAAATGCATTCTATAGCCTAGTCAAAATAGGTGATTCCATATGTGTGCTAGAATGGAGATTGATTTGGTTGTCGGTTTATTCAATTCTACCCCATTTATTTGTAGTTTTACTCTTTTGGTGTACGGTTCTTTTGTAAATTATAGTTGACTACTAAGTGCTACTAACAATTCTTTCAGCTGCTTTTAACACAGTCACCATAGTCTTTTATTCATATCTGCAGATAGTTCGGTCGATGATGGCTGATGGAACTGAACATTTCAGCTCAACTCATGTAAAGAGCTTGTCACTGCCTCCTCAAGACGAAAATATTTATGAAGAGATATGATAGGATTGAACCAATCTTTACCATCAAGGTTAATATTCAACAGAAAAGCAGGGAAATGTATATGGAAGTTGAATACAGAGGTAACCAAATTTTAGTTTTGCCTTTGCTCATTAGATTTGAGGGTGGAGAGTTTTCATGTGTTGGTGTTATAAACTTGGAGTTTTCATGTATTTCACTATGAAATGACGTAAATAACCTTCTCATCGCTATACCTAACTGGAAGTTAAAATTAACTTGGAGTCCGTCAATTATCTGCTATAGTTGATCTTGTATTGGATTTTAAGTCCATCTTCAATTACTTCAATTGGATCTTAAATTAGCCCCTTGAATACAATTGTTAAGGAATAGAGTTGTGTATTACCATTGATGGTGAAAAATACCTCTGTTTGAAGTTTGTTTTCATATTATCTTTGGAGTTGGGTTTGATGAAAGAAAGTTGCAATGCAATCAGTGGTTATACTTTTTTTTAAGGGGGTAAACGAATAAATATAACTGAATTTTGTTATGTTTGTAATATGTTTGTTTAACTTTGAAATGTTGTTCATAATAATTTATTAAGCTTAATAAAAAAAATCAAGCTTGTTTACGAATTGTTTGTTGAATATATTTTTTTTTTCAACATTTTGAATGTAAATAAATTAAATATGAATACATTTTATTATATTTGTAATTTATTTGTTTAATTAACAAATCCTAAACTATTATTAATGATCATTTGTCAAATTTAATAAACTAATAGAAACTCAATTTATTTAGGAATTATTCGGTGAATGTTTTAACTTAACAAACTAAACACAAATTCAACATGGTTAGGAACTATTCATCGAATGTTTTTGTTTGTATACACCTTTATTCTTTTTTGCTTGTAAGAACGAGCGGAATTCTTTATTTCTGAGCTTTTTCGCCATTACCTTCTTCAACTGTAATATCTATGGTTACTCTCGATGGTCATTTATGTGTTAAAGACACTTCTATTTTTGCAAAGAAAAGAACTGAAAAATGCAAAACAAAGCGCATTAAAAAGTTAATAATAAACGTCATAGATATGCAAAGTTGGTCTTGAAGGTATTTTGATTACAACAATTACATTGGACAGGCTATAATTCAACAAGGTAAAGGATTACAATGGAGAAATCTACTGTGCCAAAGCACTTGTGTTGTAAACGAGAGGAGCACTCTGGCAAGAAGTCTGGCTAAGGTAACTGCCCAGATTGCCAATCCAGTTGTTCCTGCAACGATGTTTAGATCGCACACTTGGTCCAAAAACAAACCAAATTCACTCTTGAGTGTGGGAATTAAATGAGATCACAGCCTTGTGACTGAAGTATGGTGTTTAAAGATACGTACCGCCGACATAAACATCACGGCTGGGAGACCAGTCTCTGGTGTCGTAGATAGGGCTGTGTTCCAATCACCAGAAAAAGATATTAGAACTTCCATGGCAATTTGAGTACTCTGGTTTTACAACATTTCAATATTTAAATATAGATTTTTTTTTTTTACTAAGCAATGCGAAATTTTTAAATTTTTGTTCAATATATCTCTTTTTCAAATCGATTTAAGTGAGATTATTTATACAAGATCTAATGAATTTATAAAAATCTTGTGAACATGTATATCCACATGAACAGGTATATATACATATATACATATAAACATTGTATATATATATATATATACACACACATATGAACATGTATATGCATGTTATGTGAATTATGACAAGCATAAGCATTAAAAGGAGAAAATATGATACCTGTACCCATCAACGTTAGCACCATATTTGTCAACAAACTGGTAAACACCCTTTCCCTACACCAAATTTCAAGATTAAATAGTCAATAACAAGAAAAAAAAATCAAATTAGGTTTTCTGCACGCAAAGAAAAGTAATAAAATACCAACCTTAGCCTTCCTTCCAGAAGCATCAAGACCATCCCTCAAGTTCATACCACCATTAATTCCTGCAAAGCCATTCATAATTCATTGTTAAAATTTATATATAATTAAGTCATTTTATAAGTAAATAAAATCCAAATTTGTCTAAAGACTCTGACCATTCATCAAGAAGATTAAAGTTTAAGGTTCGAATATTCTCTCGTTCTTCATATTTTATAATTACATGTAATAAAAATGTTATAGAAAGTAAATAAAAATATGTTGTAACTGTTAATAGTCTGCGTTATTTATTTGTAAAATGTTTAATATTCGACAGTTTTAAATAATAATAATAATAGTAAATGAAAACAGATAGTAATTAACCATAACGCTTGTCAGTCTTAATCTTGCCACCCTAGGCTTTAACCTTGAAAAAAGGAGGAGGAGCCCTGGCAAGGGAAGGGACACCTCTTACTCGAAATTTCTCAACACTGAAAGATGGTTTGAGGGTAACTGAAGAAGCGATAACTGAGGCAGCCATTTTGTTTTTGGTTGGTTGCTAGCACTTAATGCTTCTGCTTCTACACTGACCAGAATGTAGGGTTTATTTCTTCTGCGGTTCAAAAATGGTTTGCCTATGTTAATAAGGGTGGAAAATCTGATGATAGTGATTGTCACGTTGACCCGTGGAGAAGCGTATGTGGCTGGTTTCTGGATATGAATGTTTGCGACCTGACAAACGTTATCAGGATTTCCTAGCTCTTTCTCCTCTCTAACGCAATCTTATGTGGGTGGTAGCTACTTACATTTGTTGCCACGTATTATTTGCATATTTCTCATTGAAAAATCTTCTAATTATTCGATTCTCATATCCAGGAGTAGGGATTTTATTATTTTTTATTTTTAATAAAAAAATAAAAAAATATGTCGTAAAATTAAGTGAAATTCATATACTTTATTTTCATAAACTCCAATATGAAATTATTAGGTTTTAAAACTTTATTCTTATTATTAGGTTGTTGATTTAGTTAATTTCAAATTAAATTATTAAAAATTAAATTAATCGAATTATATAATTTTATTTTAGTTAATTGAACTAATTTATTAATTTCAAAAATCTAATCGATTGAATTTAATTTGATTACTTCAATTAATTTTTAAATTCATTAAAAAATAAAATATATTTAAGTTAAATTTATTTTAAACTCTTAATTTCTTATATTTCTAACAATAAAATTATCCAACAAAATAATTTAATATCAAAACTCTAGCAACTTGTAAAATTTCATGTATTTTAGTTTATAATTAAAATTTCGATTAATTCAAATTATTGAATTGTATTAATAAAAAATTGGAATATTTTCAAAATCATTTTTAATAATTAACCGAAATTAATTAGATAATTTATCTATCAATTGAATTAAATTAGTTTGACGAAGTTCCTTTCTTTCTATTTTTGAGTCAATTGTCAATTGTTTCTATAAGCATACTAATTTATCATTGTTTTTTCGAGTGATTTTATAGTTTGTTGCTTATTGAATTTCATTAACATGCAAATAACATAGTTATTTGCTGTATTTCCTGAAACACATTAGTTGGAACTTGAGTAGCAAAGATTTACATTGTGCTATTATTCAAATTCAACCTCCACATATGATTTCTGTTACTCTACTCTTGCAACTCAGTAATAGGCACTTCGAGTCAGATTCAAAGATCACCCTTGAATTCTTTCATTTTTGCCAATAGAAATCCCTCTATTAATGCTTTTGCCTAAATGTGTATAGCAATGAATTCAACTAATGAATTACCTATATATCTCTTGCTATGACACCAATTGCGACCTCTCCACTTTCCCTAGTGAAAGCACCATCTCAATTAATTTTTTTTAATTAAACTTACATTAATAATGATGATATGCGACATGTAGTTTTGCAGCCTGTCAGACATCACCAGTCTCATCTCTTTTTTAATCAAACATTCAACTTAGTAAGTTGTGGAGCCTTGTGAAAGTGTAGACTCTTTCTTCACAAGGAAGATCAAAGATTATAAGTGTAGCTCTTCTCAAGGAAGTAAGGCCATTTAGTGGGCTATATTAGTATTTTCTAGGACATTATATGGGCATGTTCTATTGTCTTTCATGAAATTGTAGAGAAAGGGACTGTTTACATTAACATTGAGAAATGTTTAATGATTTTACTGGATAAACGTGTGAAGTTATTACCAAACCGGGAGGCAATATTAACTGAGGTATTGATGTCGAAAGGCTACAAAACTACATGTCACATATTATCAGGCTTCCTTTTGGGTTAAATAATGTTCCTGATTTCAACATGCCAAATGACTTGATCTCTCTTCTTCATGATTTCTTCAATCATAACTTATAAGTTATATCCCGGTCTTTCCTTCGACAGGGTTTGTTTTCTTTGCTATCGTTGGTCACTGTATTCTTTTATTTAATTAACATATAATAAGAAAATTAAATTTTAACATGATTTTATGCTATTAATACCATAATAATCTAAATGAATTTCATGACTTATTTTTGGTAGCTCACTTGTCTTTTTCCCTTAGTATCTCTCTTGTATCTGTTCCCGATATTAAGAAACTTGTGAGTTTGACATTTTTACTTGGACACCTTTCGTTTGGAATAAATTCTATATGTACAGAGAGTTCTATCTCTCTAGGAGTTTAGTAAGTCTTGTAGATTTACAAGAAAGTCGTCTCAAGATTGTCACTAGCTAGGGTGGCCTTCGAGATCTGAGTACGAGGTATAGTAAGGGTTACGAAGATTATCGTTTGTTGATTGTGGGATATGGATGATGATATTGAGGCTATGGTGGAGACGGTGTTAATCGAAGAGGAGAAAGATGGAATTGAAGCACACACAACCTATCCAGGTAAGGAGTACGACGGTAAAAAGGCATGGATGGTTGGGAGATTGTTGACTAATCGTTCATACAATAAGGAAGCGTTGAAGGGTACCATGAAACTAATATGGAGGCTGGCAAGAGGTGTGGGTATATTAGATTTGGAGGATAACCTATTTCTCTTTAGTTTTCGTAGCATGCAGACATGAAGAAAGTTGATGAAGGAGCGCCCTGGAGCTTTGACAAACAACTAATACTGTTTCAGGATTATGATGGTGGATTAAAAGCCTGAGGAATATAGTTTCAATACAGCCTTTAGGTATGAGAAACCAGGAATCGCAAATCGGATTGGAGAAAAATTAGGCACGCTCAAGGCAGTGGATACGACACTTGAAGCTGGTGGTTGGGCTCGGTTCTTACGCATCAGAGTGGAGGTGGGCATAACAAAACTGCTGAGGACTGTATTACTCACAACTGGTAGTGAAGCGAAGGAGGTCTGGGGTAGATTGAGTTATAAGAGATTACCCAGTTTTTGCTATGTTTGTGGAAAATTGGGGCACCTGGAGGATGAATATGGGAGAAATGAAAAAGGCCTGGGGTCACCAACAAGATAATATGGGGATTGGCTTCGTGCTTCACCACTCAAGAACAAACCAACGGCATGGGAAAAGGGACATGCATGGCATGCAGTCCAGGAAAAAGGGAGAGAATATCACCATGGTCATGAACAACCATCACCGATGGCCGGCACGTGAGTGGCCCGGAAGCTGAATCTGGCGTTGAATCAAGATCACGACAACATGCATAATATTCGGCATTCAGTTTACCAAGAGACCGATGTTTCAGGGATTACGTCTCCAGAATAGATTGACAATCAATCCCGTGATTCATTAAAGGATTGAAGGGAGGTGTCAAAAGTTGATGCGGTTACGGGTGGGAAACAAGTGTTGGGAGGGTGTCAAGTAACGCCCAATGAGAAGGAACATGGAGAAATCATATGTGAGCCCACAGGTCAAGGCCCAAATGCGAAGGCCAACACACACGGTAAAGAAGTCCAATGCACGTTAATTTTCAATAGCATGCTGGGTCATTTACAAGGAATTAAGGACCCCTCAAAGCAGGTTGATTCAGCAGAACAGCTACAGGTGGGGTCTGGCAATGAAGAGGTGGACAATGGAACTAAAGAACATTCTTGTAACCCAGAAGTGCAAGTTCCCGGCAAATGGAAGAAGCTAGTGAGGGGTGTAAATGAGGGTACAAAAATCAAATCACTGGATATGGGGAAAAGGAAAATGGAAGATAATGAGGTGATTGCTATGGAAGTGGACAATACAGGGAAGAGAGGAAAATGGGATGAAGGAAGCGCGAAGGGAAACAACTTTGAGTAAGCGGTGGTTGTATCTAGTCCCGCCGAAGCCAATGAAATGCTTAGCATGGAACTGCTGTGGGCTTGGGAACTCACGAGCAGTTCGAGCTCTTCGAAATATGCTGAAGAGGGAAGATCCTGAGGTGGTATTTCTTTCCAAGACTATCTCAAATAATTAAAAGATACACAATAAGGCGACAACGCCAATTTGACAGTATGTTTGTGGTTGATGCAAATGGAAGGAGTGGAGGATTTGCAATGATTTGGAAGGAGGAAGTAAAACTGAACTGCGGAGTTTCTCAATATCACATCGACATGAGTGTTGAGGATTCATAGGGAATAACATGGCGAGTCACAGGTTTTTATGGTGAGCCATCCACGAGTGAAAGACATGCAGCTTGGGAAATGTTACATAGATTATCAAGGGGCAGTGAACAAGCATGGCTTTGGGAGATTTTAACGAGATAATGTGGGATACGGAGAAGGAAGGTAGGGGCAAGCGATCGGAGTGGCAGATGGAGGCTTGCCGTTCGGCTGTGGAAAATGCAGATCTTCATGATTTGGGTTTTACAAGGCCAAAGTTTACGTGGGAGAGAGGCAATACTGAAATTAGTAGCATTCGAGAAAGGCTAGATAGAGCGGCTACTAACAGAGCGTGGATGGGAAAGTTTTCTCATTTTTTGGTAAGAAATTTGGCTTGTTCATATTTGGACCATTATCTGCTTTTAGTTACTACTGAAAGGGCTAAAGCTGAGAGACGTTGCTTATTTGCAAAAAGGAAACAAGTCTTAGAAGCCATTTGGGCCAATGAACATGATTGCAAAAGTATAGTGGCAGAAGCTTGGGCAAATGGTGACAACAAAACAATGAGAAGAAGGCTACAATGGACACGTAACCGGCTGTATGTGTGGGGCAAAGAAAAGTTCCAAGGATGAGGATTAATATTGAGAAGTTAAAAAAGGATATTCACGTATGGCAAAATGGGACCGTGAATGATGATAGCTTGGCCAAGGTAAAGAAGCTTAAATCGTGCCTAAACATTTTGCTAGAACAAGAGGAATTATTCTGAAAGCAACGATCTCGAGTTAGTTGGCAGGAAGATGTGTTAGAAAAAAATAAATAAGAAAAGAGAAATAATAGAAAAAAAATTTAGTTTTGAGGCGTAAAAAATATTTTCATAAAGATAATTATGCCTTTAAAATACAACAAAGTCTCAAACTCTCAAACTAAAAGTAGTAAAAATAATTATATTAAAAGATTTATTTACAATAAACTAACAGACATAAATTTTTATTCAGATAATTATGACTTTTTGTATAGTCATAATTTTTATGAATAATAATTTATTTATATTCAAATAGTTATGTTCATTTATTATATGATAATTATTTAAAATATGAATAAAATTAATATAAAAATTAATTTTATTTATCATAATTAAATCTTTTTATCTAATGTGAAATATATCACATTCTAAACTACCAACAATCCCCCACTAGTTTGGAATGTTGGTGTTTAATTTTTACCTTTTACACAAATAAATATTATGAATACAAAAAATATATCTCAATTTAAATCTTCAATTAGCTTATATATCTTAAAATTTTAACCAAGTTAATGGTATCTACAAATTAAACCTCAACTTCTAGTATTATAATTGAAGATATAACACATAATACTTTTTATTCTTCTGTCAGAGGTTTATAACCGTTTTTAGCATTATTATGGTCATGTGCTTATCATATTCGTAAACATTTAGAAGAGAGATCATAATTTTTCTTGTTAAAGTGGCATCACTTTTATGTTTATATAGGTAAAGTTTCCATTATGTTTTCATTGCTTTAGACATTTAAAACTCTATTAAGAGTATAAAAACTCATCATTCCCACGTAATGGATTACACTAGTTTTTAAAATTTTGAATGGAATTTAGTAGTACTTAACAGACACAAAACAATAACTTGTTTTTACTCATTAAACTTTGTAATTAAAAGTTACTAATTAAAAGTTAGGTTCCCATTATTGGTGTCTAATAGTAAGAGTTTAAATCCATTCTACTTGTAGTACTACTAACCAAAATTTTCTTTTATGGTAATTACCCCCACTTGAAATTGAATCTCTAATGTAATCATTTTAGGCTAATATGTCCAAATTTTTCATTTTGCATATCATTTATATGTTCTAGACATTGTTGCCTCATTCTTATCATTTTAAGAAATAATTGGTTTTGGTTATGGCTACAACTCTATATTCATTAATTTCAACCATTCTATTTTCATACTTTTATACATTTTTAATATAATTATACTTCTAGTATAATTAGATAAACTTAATGAATAAACCAAACGATTTTAGTCCTTTTAAGATTTTTAAGGACCTTCATTATGATTTTACTTTAATAAGTGTTTAAACTCATTAGTTTGTATAATTTGCTCATAAAATTATACTAAAATCTTACAACACTATGCAGGTAATTTTTATTTATTTTGATTCTTATCACTTCCACCATGTGCAAGTATGCATTCTTTTATTAAAGAATGTCTCATTCAATTATTAAAGATATTATATACTTAATCAAGTTGCTATTTTATTTATCTTTCCACTATTTGGTGGTTTTTTTTTCTTTTTAAGTATGAAGCCTCCAAATCCACCATTTGTGAAAGATAACTAGCAAATATCTTAATATTTTTATAAAAGTTTCAAAACTTTTATATTTTAATTCAATATAAGAGTTTACATCAATAAGCAGATTTTAAATATAATCATGCTTTTATAGTCTCCTTTTAAGACTTTTTTGTCAATTCATAAATACTTATATAAATCTATTTCATCATGGACACTATTTATAATTTTTTATTACCACGAACAAAACCATTTTCATCACCTAAATGGATCAAAAGGCTTTCCTTTTGCTATTATAAAAGTTTTCATATTCATAAGATCTTTAAATCATTCATGGCTTCCAAAGTATATACTTTGAAATTTTCACTATATAAAACCATAAATGATAAATCATTTGTACAATCCATGAATTAGATCATATACATAATAAAAAATTATCACAACATGATCAAGATTATGGCGTCAATTTTGGCTTATGGCTATTCTAAGCCAACCATAATAATCCATATCACACCTATAATCATGTAGATTTAGCTATTGAAATTATCTCATTTACAATAATGGCTTTCTGTGAAAACCAACTATCTCAAATGTTATTATAAGTTTCCAATGCATATATTAATTGCTTAGTAGCTAATTCCAAGTTCATGACTATTGAAACCTCTAAATTTAATCTCAAATTTTTTTTATGAGAACTTTATTTCTCCACCATAGTGCAACTTATATATCTCTGTTATTTTCTATTTTTAATTGGTCATAACATTTTCGGATATATAATAAATTTAAACTTTACTCATAAGACCAATATGCCTATGTAAAATAAGAGTCCATAGTATATTTAACTCCAATTTTAAATACTTTCACAATAATTTTATGATCAATATGTTCATATTTAGATCACCATATCAATACAAGTCATGAAACATGAATCCAAAGAATTATTTTCATAAAATAGAATAAACAATAATTATAATATCAAGTCTACTTATATTTCATGCAAAAATTCATGATGAATTTGCATTAGTTAAATCGCTGATTGGCTAACTATAAGGCTTACAGCTTTCACAAACCAATATTATTATCTAAGCCCATATATTATTATAATATATAACTAGCTATATCTTTACCACTGTCATGAAACTATAGAAAACCTCGAGAATTTGTTCATTTTTTATTTTAATAGCTTGCAAAAGGGCAATTTTGTCAAGTATAAAAAGTAAAAATACCTTCATTATTTTTAACCAATAATGTATTAATTGGATGATGACATTCTATCTCCATAGTCCATATCTTTCTTATATGTATAAGAAAGAAAATTTCATCTCATTCAATTCATTTTCATAATATATGGCAAATTGTACCAATGTTCTTCATATTACCACAAAAATGGAATTAAACATATTCATATATTGGTGCCTTTGGAACATTGAATTTGCATGTTCTTTTCTAATTTATAAACATGCCAAATTAGACATTGATGAGCATCCTTCAAAATGCTAGTAACAGACAAATGCTTTAATATTTTTCAATGACATGCCTTTTCGTTTAATCAATATCCCATATGCGAAAAGCAACAATGTTTTTTTGTAACCATTGATTAACTATTTGACGGCTATTTATGATTTCAACTTTTGTGATTGTTTATAATAAAATTTTATTTTATAAAATCACTTCTAGTGTAATACACCTAGCAAACAAAAATACCTGTCACACTGCCCATATTTTTTATAATAACAATTATTTGGTTTACTATCCACCAATTAATCCATGAAACACCATATCTTAATAATAATTATTCACATATATCAATTTAATTTTAATTGGTTTTCATGAAAATTGAACACAAGTCACAATTTAAACCAATAACAAATTTAAAAAATATATATCAACATTGGATTTATAAATGACCAACAAAGATAGAGCCATACAAATATTTTGACTCAACTTATTATCTCAATTTTGGTGCCATGATTTAAAAATAAAACTAATCTTGCAACCAAATCTTATTTTCTGCATATATTCTCCACTTATATCTAATTTTTCATGGTAAATACATTTATCTATTTTTGATTGTTTTCATAGAAACCATGGGACAATTTGCCTGTTATATATATAACCCAGACATGACAATTAAATAATCGATCATTCATTATAACCCAATTTAATTCGTTACTTTATTATAGTTCAATAATTCTTTTGGTCGCAAATCAATTTATGTCTTTTTATTTTATATTTTCAGGCTATTTCCTATCTCAGTCTTTATAAGTATCAATTTTTCAAATAGATATAATACAATTCATTAAACCTAATTATGGAGTCAATTTCAGTATATGCATAAACTTATACAATGTAATCAATATTTTGCATATTGTGTTTTGACTTTACACACTAATAAAATAAATTGTTAACGTGTTTATCTCATTCAGTCAATCTTTTTACCAGCAATTATGCAAAAAATAAAATACATGCCTCTAATGAAAATTTTTATAAAAATTAACATTTTGATCCATAACAACATGAATCCTTTGACACTATGAGCCTTTTCTAATACTGATCTCTAAATCATGCCAATTTCTTTTCCTTGTATCTTCCTTATGCAAAATATAACTTTTTTATAATTGCTTTTAAATTGTTAGAAAAAATAAATAAAAGAAGAGAAATAATAGAAAAGAATTTTGGCTTTGAGGCGTAAAGAACCTTTTCTTAAAGGTAATTATGTCTTTAGGATACAACAAAGCCTCAAACTTTCAATCAGAAATATTGAAAATCATTATACTGAAAGATTTATTTATAATGAATGAACAGACATAAAATTCTATTCAGATAGTTATGATTTTTTGTATAATTATGACATTTATGAATAATAATTTATTTATATTCAAATAGTTATGACCATTTGTCATATGATAATTATTTGTGTTCAAACATAATTATTTAAAATATGAATAAAATTAATACAAAAATTAATTTTATTCATCAATAATTAAATCTTTTTATTCAATATGGGATGCACCACTTTTTAAACTACCAATAGGATAAGGATCGTAGTATAAAGTTTTTTCATGCCCAGGCATCTAATAAGAGAAAAAAGAATAAAATTTAAGGTGTTGAAGATGAAGACAGGGTCTGGCACGAGGATAAGGTGGTGGTGGTGGAGCAAGCATCTAGTTATTTTAACAAGTTGTTTAAATCACAAGGTCCATTGGTTCTTGATCAAATTATGGAAGCAATATCCTGTTGTATTACAAATGAGATGAACAATAAGCTATAAGCAGAGTTCATAGTTGAAGAGGTCTATACGACAATTAAACAAA